GGAGGAGGGGAGGGTGGGAGGGCTGGAGGAAGGGACTGACCTCCGGGCTGTGCTTCAAGGTTCCGATTCGGAGCTCCCCCAGGATCTCTTTGATGGTTTCCTGCACCTGTAGGCCGGAATGTGACGAATCAGAAGACGCCAAAAGCGTCAGGGGAGGGACGCGGGGAGAGAGTCAAGAGGACGAGGCAAGGCGAGACACGAGCAGGGGGGGCAGGGGGAAGGCAGGAACACAAAGAGGCGCACGGAGGAAAGAGAGAGGGAAAGCACGCATGACGAGGGAGATTATGGGCATAGACGTGTCAGCAAAAAGGTTCAGAGATGCAATCAAAGAAAAAAAAGCAATCAGATCCCCCAGGTGAGAGGAGAAAGAGGGGCCGCGGTGGACCGGGGACGGTCAGGCGAACGCACCTCAGGATCTTTGTGGACGGCATACAAATTCCAATAGGGTTCAACCGCGCCCCCGGCTGCCATGAGAATCTTGTTTCCTCCTGTTGCCGTGGGGTCCGAAGGCAGGAAGCTATATTATCCCGCGGTAGAGTGAGAAAGGCACGATCTGAATCTGAACCCCTTATGCTCAGGGCGTCTGGCTTACCGGGATGGTTCTCCGCAAATTTTGTGATGTCGTACACGCCGTCTTTGTAAGTGACCCATACGCCTGTTTCGATCGTCTTGTGTGCTTGGACGTCTGCCTTGGTGTACTCTATCTCTTTCACGCCTGCGTCCGTTGCGCCCGCTTCGGTCTGGGCGGGGGACGCTGTTCTTATCCCCCCCACACCGGCAATTAACGACAAAGCTAGCAGCACCACTGCCCTCGTGTTGCCAGTATCCCGTTTATCCTGGAAGGAAGAGGAAAGCGCAGCTGCTGCACTTGTCATGACTCGGGCGTGCGAATGCCGGTGGATCTCCAAGCTCCTGCAAGGGCTGCATTGGGCCACACACCCTCCACGGATTACGTTGATCCGCTTAAACGCAGCTGGAAAACGGACAACGGCATGACGTAGCATGCTGTAGTATGTGTATGG